TATATATATATATATATATATATCGTCACAAATAGAACTGTCCGGTAAACCGTAGGCAGAGAGAGAGAAGAGGATAACAAACGAGGGGTTGTGACAAACTGTTTCGTCGGAGTTTCATCGACATATATATATATTTACCGAGCAGTTCTGTTTGTGATGATATATATATATATATATATACAGGGTCACCAGCCCGTACGTACGGAGGTCCCCGGGCAGACCTCCGTACGTACGGGCGTTCGGGGTCCCGTACGGGGTCCGAACTTTACGGCGTTTGGCCCCCGCCAAAACTTATTTCGGGGCTTAGAAATAACTTTTGTTTTTTGAATTGTTTTTTGTGAGTTTTGTATGACATGAGGTACATGCCTATACATTTTCAAGTCATTTGGCTCAGCCAAATAAGAATTAAAAATTGCCAAAGATGTCGGTCTCAAGACGTGCTCGCCCATGTTTTTTTTCCACTTTTTACTTTTTGTTTTCACTTTAGTTCAGGGTCTAAATAATTTTATTATTTTTTGAAACTGTTTTAGTGGGTTTTGTATTATGTGAAGTACAAATCTGTAAATTTTCAGGGCATTTAGCTATGCCAAAAAAAAAAGAAAAATCTCCAAAGATGGCGGTGTCGAAAACGTGCTCGCTCACTCGCTAATTTTTTTTATTTTTATTTTTTTATTAGTATTTTTTTTTTATATTTTATTTTTATTTCAAATTTGGTAAGGAATTTGGATGTAATGCTCAGGCAAATCTTGTTGAATTTAGTTTTGTTCATAACATTTTTTTTTTTCAGATTTGTTTTTTTGTTTTTTTTTGGGTCCGCGTTCGGCCCGAATGGCCGAACGCATCCCCAAGGGGTCCCATACGTTCGGGCGTTCGGCCCATCCCGAACGTCGGTTACCCTATATATATATATATATATATATATATATATATATATAACTTTACACAAATGTGTTATTTTTATTTTGGGTCACTATGAAATTTTCTCTCTTTCTCACGACACAACTGTGCACAATTTTCCTTTTCACTTCGCTGAGTCAAGCCAGTGTAAATGTATTTCCCAAACATATTCACCCAAGTGTCACGTCCTAAAATTTTTCTCTCCCCCCCCCCCTCCCTTCCCCCTCCCATTTTTTTCTCGTCTTTTTTTTTCCCTTCTCCCCTTCCTCTCTATTCTCCCCTATATTTTATATTTTCTCATTGTATACGTCCATATATGTTATCCTACCATACTGTGTACATCTACTGGTTCCACTAAGGAGGTTTCTTTATAATATTTTTTTGAATTTTATTTTTATGAAAAGTTTTGTATTTTGTGAAGTTTTTTTTTTTTTTTTTTTTTTTAATGGTCAATATAGGCTTAAGATATATCTTTCCTAAGAGTATAATTGGTAACATTATTGGATTGGTATCGACGATTTTGGAATTCAGCACCAACTTTATAAAAAACATTGAACTCTAATTGCATATGAGAAGGAGGGAATCCGTTAGGATAGTGTGGTGTTTTTTTTTTTTTCTTGTCTTTTTTTTTTTTTTTCTATTGTCTTTAGGCACTCGCCTTTAATACGTGGTATCATTGTCAGCCACTTTTTAACCGAAACTGCAATATTTCCTTGAATTTTTGTCTTTTTTTTTTTTTTTATTATATGTACGTGTTTTAGAGTATACTTGTATTCAGTTTTGACATATTTGGACCTGTAATAAAAAAAATGGCAAAAAAACCGAATTCGGGAATAGTTTCTGGCGAACTTCGAAAGCTACTCTGAATAAAGTTTCATAGTGCTCTTGAGTTTTTTTTTTGACTATTTGTTTTTTTTTTAATGTTTGTATTATGAGCCTGCATAATTCGTTTTAAGATTCACTCTGTCTTCAAGCCTTGCTTTTTTTTGTCATTGTCATTGTAGCATGTGTGTAGCCCATCCCATAAGGGTCATGCGGACTTGATGTCATCCCCACCTTCCTCCAGTATATCACTGATAGTTTTTTGTAAGTGCAACATATTGTTGCGATGTTTTAGCAACATAAAACGATGGTTGTTCTTTGTGATACCGCGATACCTGTGTTTTTTTCATTTATTAGCTCAAAGAGAACTTTTCACCGATGCTCCCTTTAATGGTACGATAATACCTATTTTTATTTATTTTTTTAAAAAAATGACTGCATTGTTTGTAGTGATGTATCAAAAGACCTCGGATTTTGTGTCTTCCATTAACCATCTCTCTCCTTAGGGTTTTCGTCAAACACACCTTGAAAACTTGGTGGAGGAAAGTCGCGTCATTACACTTGTTTTTAAAATCAAATTTGTTAATAAAATATTATAAGTTCAACGCCTTTCAAAGTCAAAATGATTTGATTTTCAACAACAAACATATCGGACTGGATAGGACATGGTCCACATTTGAGTAGTGATGACATTTTTTTTACCTAACATGTGCACAATGTTTTTTCTTTCCATTTTCTTCATGATCGACAACTTTTTCAATAATTCGTCATTTAGGATACATAGAACGATGAATCAAAAAATAAAAATCTGTAAAAATCACAAACTTTTTGAATAGTTCGTCCTTGAGTTAAAAACATCCTTAAGGAGTGGGAATAACGAGACACCAATGTTGTAGGTCACACCCTCTACCATCGATTCGAGGATGTCATCCGAGCATTTTTTTGTCGATCCGGATTCCTCTTAGGCACCAAACTTTGTCGCATCGTCAGCGTGATGCTATATTTTTCATTTTAAGTTGCCATCACTATTTATTTTCATTTGATTGCCCATAGCCTCTAAATTTTTTAGAATGACTCGTTTTTCAATTCTCAAGTTTGTCTGACTGATGAACTAATGTGTTAAGAACCTGAAGTATGGTGCATGAGATGGGCAATGAGAACAGTCGATCGGTGATTATTTGTTGATATTTTTAATTGAATGGAAACCCTTGTAATCTGCTTTCATCATGTGGCCGGAGAACCATTTAAGAAAAATGCAAGAGACGTGACAAAAAAAAAAGAGGGTAGAAGGTTCTCAACGAGGTTGATAAGGTCATCATTTACCCAGTGCATGGAGGATGACTTACGAGTCGATGCCATGTAGAGAGAAAAACATAAGAAAGAGATTATGATATCGTGCACGTTTGTTGGAAGGTTGTCAAGATGATGCCTATTGCTTTTGTTGGAAGGTGAAAAACATAAGAAAAAAATTATGAGGTCGTGCACATTTGTTGGAAGGTTGCCTAGATGATGCCTGCTGCTTCTGTTGGAAGGTTGTCAAGTTGACGCCTGCTCTAACCTGCTCTTCATGCAATAAGAGAATCAAACTCTTTGCTCCCACAAATATGAGCGAGGGGAGGACGGTATGTAAAAGGAATTAGAGAGAAGTTCAACAACTCTCTTCCTAGCGAGGAAGAAGAAGGTCCTGATGCTATTATAAAAGGTATACCATGCTTCTTATCTAATGAAGTCGATGAGGTAATCGATGAGAGGGGAAGCACCGTAGCGTCGTTTTACATACTTGGCTTGAAGATCCGTGAAGGTGAGGGGTTTATTAAAAGGAGGAGGTAGAGATGCAAGGGTCAAAGACGAGCAGTAGGAGGATCCAAAAAAAGAAAAGTGTTCGATTCGCTCGTCTGCAGTGACAAGGAGGGCGTCAGAGGTGCTTAGCAGTGGTGTGATAAGAGCCTTGAACTCGCAGATTAACAAATCATTGGGGATGGAATAGTCAGACTGAGGGGCAAAATTTGAAGGGAAATAGAAAAGAAGGTAGGGATCAAAGATTTGACCTTTAGAGGACGGAGGGGAGTGATAGGAGGGACATAAGGAGGAGGTGGAGGACAATTAATTTTCGGGTGAAGTACTGCATTGTTGGGAGGTTGAAGGTGCCCGATCTCCAACTCTGCATGCCAATGGGTTAATTGTGTAAAAGACTTACCGGACGTGCACTGACCGACAAAAGATAACAACATTGACAGACGGCTGACCGATTGGGATGGAGCTGACCAAGAGTAAAGCTAACTGATGATGAAGACCTTGACTGACAAGGACAAGCTGAGTGAGGAAGGTAAACTCAGAGAAAGGAGGGAGGAGGATAAAAAAGAACCCTTGGCCAAAATCAGGCGAGAGAAGTGCCCGGTCCTCTGGGAGTGGTGCCGACTGCTTGGCTTGGCTGCACAGGTTTGCACGGGCAATGGGTGAGGCAGCTGGTTGGGCATCTGAAGGTGTGGCTCGAGAGGGAGCCCACACTACAGTACAATTCCAGCGCTGGTGGAACCGGGAGGACCATTGAGACTGTGCTGCACCCTTGGTGAGTTCCCTGTACCAAGCTTCCGGAATGGTAGATGTCTTGCGAAAAGATCTCCACATAGATGTAGAATGCCTGCTGGAAAATGAAGTGCCGCCGTGGATGAACCGAATCTAGGGTCCGAAAAGGCAGGAGTCCCGAGTGCCAAGTCCCAACCGTAAGGCACTCGTGGAGAAACCGCAGATAACCGCGGAAGTGTAGCCTCCGAAGTAGAGTGGTTGCTTACGGGTAGGCGAGGTGGGCTCTCTTCGAAACGTGTAGCCCCCGCAGTAGAGTGGTTGCTTACGGGCAGGCCAGGGGCCTCTCTTCGAAAAGTGTAGCCTCCGAAGTAGAGTGGTTGCTTACGGGTGTACCGGTTATAGCCACGAAAGTCCTACATAGGCGAGGTGGGCTCTCTTCGAAAACTGGCACACCAAACAAGGCGCGGTTTTGAAGACCGCAGGCCTGTAGCCTTTCCGTGCACGAGGGAGCAGAAGGCAGACGCAAACAGAGGCACGGCGGCACGCGCGTTCGTCTCCAAAACAAAAACAAAGATAACAAAAGTCAGAATCTAGGGTTGTGAGGGCTGTGGAGGGGACCTTTTCGGAATTCCAATGTGAACTCTACAAAGATACCGATCTTCATCTTTCGGTTCCTCCTACGCCGCCGACCGGTGGAGCATTGTCGTTGAGCAGAGCGGCGACTATTTGCCGCCGCTGTCGGCCTGCCGTCTCTGCCATCGCCGAAAGCTTTGGGAGTGTGCACACGAAGACAGCGAGCAAGCAGCCATGGCTCTCGTAAGTTGCTACAATTTCTCATTCGATTCTCGCGCGACTCTCTATGGGCTTGTCGTCTTCGCTGTGAAATGGTTGATTCCACTGATGTCGTCCCCAACACCTGCCATTGCCCCATTACGCTATTGCGTACAGGTTTGCTCCGCAGAGACGGTAGTGGCCGACGCGGCGACGCTGGGAAACTTGGCAGATGTTGCTTGTTAGTAGGGCCAGGATGGTCAGGGGTGGCTGTGCCTTAAGGGGACTTCCTGTGGTGTGCTACACACTGTCTATGTAGGAGAGGACGGCCCTCCGTCTGCTGGAATCGTCAGAAACCGCTTTGTGAATCTCTTTGGATGGGCAGGAAGCGCCGTTTTGAAGGTTCTCTACCGTCTTCCCCCGAGCGTGACGCACCCCAATTGCGAATGTATACAAGTCCGCTACAGTCACATGACCAGGGTGCCTTGTGCTCTGCGGAAGATTGTAGCCTGTCTCGGAGACTGCAGGTGGCGGAGTGGGGAGTCGTTCGGCTGTCCCCTCGTTGGGAATGAAGCCTGTAATACCGCTTGATTGATTGAGTACGACGTCAGAGGAGTATGACGCAGAGAAACGAAGAGTTGAAATTGGGTTATGGTGTGTACGGAGTGACTTTGCATGCCAATGTTGTCTTTGGACGGTGGGTTATTAATATGGGAAGCGTATAGCTTAAGACAAACCGAGTTGTAATCGGGGGTATGGGGAGATAAACAGAGCTGTAATCGGAGTTATGGAGGGAATATGCACACGTATGGTCTGACGGAATTGGGGTAAGGAGCTAATTTGCACACTTATGTCGATGGGGCATAGATAAACCCGATGGATAATAGTGATATGTGGGAGGAATTTGCTCACCTATGTCGTCTTTAGAGGGCCGGCTGTTTGGCTTGGTGTTGCTTGTCATGAACTTCCACGGACGAATTAACGCGTGTATGAGCTGATGAAGATTGATCTGTACTTTTCCCGCTGTGTGGCTCTTGTCTAGAATTAAGCGAATGAGCTCTGCTGCCAACTGTCAATTTGTAATTATGGTTTTTTCGAAAATAGGTTCTTTCCGAATTTGCATATGCTACAGGTTTGTGTGATCTGATAATTGCAAAGTGTATCAAAGGCAGGTTATCGTATGTCCTTGCGTTGATATAACATGGGTGTTTCTTGGTGTTATATGATTTGAACGGCTTTAAATCGTTGCAGGAGATCTATACATATCCAAATAACAAAAACACGCAGAAGGCGCTCATTGCCGCCGAATATGTCGGGGCCAAGGTCGACGTCGTTAAGGATTTCCAAATGGGCGTAACCAACAAGACGCCTGAGTTTTTGGCTATGAACCCGATCGGAAAGGTACGCGGTCTTCTCGCGTCTTCCTTCCTTCGCAGTGTTGCTGCATCTCTCTGCCCGTAGCAAGTCGTTCCAATTCCCTTTTTATGTCAAATTGATGGGTATCTCGTTGGCCAATTGTGTAATTTCAAGAGGGGTGGGTAGAATCGAGGAAGAGCGTTGCCTCTCTTCACTGGCTGTGTGCTGTGGTCGCAGAAGTCGATCCCATGCGGCAAGGTCAAGGAGGGGGGGGCGATCGCGTTTGCTAAGGTTGCATATTCGACAGAGGGCTGATTTGTGAGGATAGTGGCAAGATGAGCCGTCGACGGGGAGTGATATGTGACGGCACGTGGCGAGTTGATCTCACCGTGGGGGTAGAGTGGCTGGGTGAACTCAGGGCCAAGGGGCAAGATTACTCTCCATGCGGGGAGGATGCCCTGCAGCATTTTTCCGGTCATTATTGCTTTACCTAGAAAGAAAACTACACTAATTACAGTTTCGAATGACGGGGCGTTCTATTCGGATGAAGACGGTAGGCGTATCGAGGTGGTCTACTGCATATCCGTGTTCTCGATCTGGGAGGCTGGAGAATCGCTGCAGTCTTGTTAGTCTTGGCCTCTTGCATCCTGTCTCCCTTCAGTACTCCCTCGTAGTGGATTGCTTCGCGCTATTTGGTCGTGTAAATGGAGGTTCACTTTCCTTCTGACATTATGGTAATGCAATTTTTTTCCTGTCTACTGACATCGGTCATGATTTTGACGCCTCTTCTCTGGCGTTCTTTGCCTCTTGGGAGATGGTATGTAGTCCTTCGTGGCCTGAATTTTTCGGCATCTCCCAGTCTCACTACTTCGGAAGCCCCTTTCGGCCCAATCCTCGTCTTTCCCAGCTGCTCCACCTGCTGTCCTTCTGCTTTCTGCTCACGCTCATGTGACTCTCCCTTCTTTGACGATTCTACCTCACTGTTTCCCTGTTTCGTTCTCTAAACTTTTTTCCGGGCTCTCTCTCATTTATTTTCTTATTCGTGCTTGTTCACCTGGTCGATGTCCTTTCACCTCTCCACTCTCTTGCCTGTGTCTCTTGTCTGCGATTCATTCTATAGCTTCTTCACCTCGTCAATAAGATATCTCATCCACGTTTCTCCGTTTTCTGCCTGCGCTGCCGTACTTTCTTAGTTGCGACTCCGGCTCACTCTCGGCCCCTCCGTCGGCCTCTGCTCCTCCGCCGTCCTCTGCTTCTCCGCCGGCCTCTGGTCCGGTAGACCAGAGAAACATTCCTCGGCTGTTTCTCTGGTCTCCCGGACCTCGACCCCCACTCTCTCCCTCAGCTCCTCCGCCGGCCTCTGCTCCTCCGCCGGCCTCTGCTTCTCCGCCGGCCTCCGCTCCTTTGCCGGCCTTGGCTTGTCTCTTAGATCGCTCCTTCGCCTGCTGCTCCTCTCACGGTGTCTCCCCTTGCCTTGGCTTTCCCCCCCCGAGTTCTTCTTGCTCGGGTCCTTGCCGCCTCTCCTCCTTCCCTAGCCTCCTCCCTCTCTGGCCTCGCCTCTCTCTCTGACACTCCTCCCGCGGCTTCTCCTGCTTCCCTGGCCTCTCCTGCCTCCCTGGCCTGTCCTGCCTCCCCGGCCTCCCATGAATCTCCTTCCCTGGCTTGTGCTCCGTCTCCGATATCTTCTTTCCAAGCCTTTCCGTCCGAGGGTTTTCCTCCAGTCCATTCTTGGTCCTCTTGTTCGATATTTCATTATGGTGCTTCGTTCGTATTTTAATACTGTCTGCTGATCCGGGTTTCTGTAATGGAACGAAGTGAACGTTCCTCAGCGCAGTTTTCTTTGCCTGCGTGCTCGTTCTTGTGTTGTCTTTGCTTGGCCACAAGCCTTGGTCAAGAAGACTTTCCTTTTTTCATTTTGGTTGTACTTCGTCCTCTAATTTTTCGACTTGCTGATCGAGCAGCGTATGTTCACCATTCCTCTATCAGGCTTTATTGTCAGGCCCTGGGATTTCGCTGTGCTTTTGCTTAACGCATCCGCGATTCCTTTTTGTCTCCGACTTCACGATTTCTCTGTATCACCTCTTCACTCCTCCATGATTTTTCTATATCACCTCTTCACTCCGACTCCACGGTTTTTCTGTATCACCTATTTATATTATTGTTTTCTTTTATATGTAGACAACCAACAGCGTTCTGCCTTGGTCATACGCTTTATCAAGTTTGTCCACTCTCGAGTTCTGCAGCTATCGAAAGGATTAAATCTGACCACATACCTGTGCATAATTTTAGGTTTCGTGCAAGCACGTTTCTCTGACATGAAGTCCTGCTTGCTGGTCTTTAAGTCTGAAATGGAGGGCCCATGTTTCTCAGGGAAGTCTGTCGTAGCCTGCGAGTCTGAAAGTTTTGCTGTAGGGAAGTCTTTCTTCGGCTGTGAGTCTGACATTAGGTCTGTGAGTCTGAAGGCGTTTGGTGTTGGGGGCCTATGCGTCTGAAAATTGTGGGCACGGTGACGGGGGTGCCTTTCGTAGGCTGTAAAGGATTTTGTCTAGGGTGGGGTCCATTTTCTTGCCACTTTTGCGCGTTTTTGGAGAGGTCTTAATCCCCTGGATAGATGAGTCATAGGTAGGTTGATTTCGTGGGTTAGTCAGAGGTAGATAATTTATAAAGTGAAAAGCGGATGGAGAGGAAGGAGTTACTGTGTAGTAGTGAAAACTGCGATAGAAACGGAACTTGAAACGGAATTCGAAACGGAACTCGAAACGGAACTCGAAACGGAACTGTGTAGTCCTACGTAGATTGATTTCGCGGTTCAGTCAGAGGTTGATACTTTCGTAAAGTGAAAAGCGGATTGAAAGGAAGTATGAACTGTGAAGTAGTGAAAATTGGTATAGCAACGGAACTTAAAACGGAACTTAAAACGGAACTTAAAACGGAACTTAAAACGGAACTTGTCTAGTCATAGGTAGATTGATTTCATGGGTGAGTCAGAGGTAGATACTTTTGTGAAGTGAAAAGCGGATGGAGAGGAAGGAGGAACTGTGAAATAGTGAAAATTGGGATAGAAACGGAACTTGAAACGGAACTCGTTTAAAAGAAGGGAACTTTTGTCGCCGAGTAGCGAATTTGTATCCGTGAAGTTGCATTTTCCGTGAAGTTGTATTTTCTGTAAAGCGGGGCGTAAAGATCGAACCTCGGTTTATGTTTTAGTCCTCTTTTTTTTGTGTTTATGATCTGTCGGCGGTTTTCGTAATTTCTTGTTTTTTTTTTTTTTTTGTTCACATTTCTTTTGATCATTTCTCGGTTTTGCTTAGAGCCTGTGTCTTCGTTCCTTTGCCTAACGGCGCGGAGCGTGTGCGTGCTTGGATATGGTTGTGCTTTTAAGGTTCCGGTGCTGAAGACGTCAGATGGATCTGTGTTTGAGAGCAATGCCATCGCTAAATATGGTAAGAAGACTTTCCCTAATCCTGACTGAATTTTATGAAGGTGTAGTTTTATTGGGAACCCTGGAAGCGAACCGAAAACAGAAGTACAGTCTTCACACGCGCGGTCAGAATATTGTTGTACTTCGGGCAACTTTCAGTCCAGACCGGGCGTTGTATTCGGGTGAAGACGGTAGTGCCACGTTCCGATTATGCGTGATGGCAATTACGGATAATTTCGTCAGCGGTGGAGTTGGGCCTTACCGCATACCGCATAAATTGTATGGATGTCCCTGCTGTTGGGCAGTAGAGGGTAGGGTGTGGGGACGGTGGCCCGAAGGACAGTAGCTCAAGATAATGGGCCTAGTTCCACTCCACTTCACTTGAAATCTAGTGCGCACTCGAGTTGCAAAAGTGACAATGGCACTAGAAAAAGGAGAAGGAACGGGGAAAACCAAACTATCGGGGGATTCTACATGTGCTTGCAGCGCCGATTTTGAGTGCAGATAAGTCTGCCTAGAGAGGTGACTTTGAGAAACGGGTAGGTTTGCCTGCGCTGCACTTGAGCTGCCCTTGAGCTTTTCCCGCCCGTTTGATTAACCCGAAAATCTGATCACGGCCGGGCCGTGATTAACGAAACTTTATCTGGTGTGGGCACCGCGGAACGGTGTTGGGCAAGAAACCCTAGAGATTTTCGAGTGGGGTGGAACGAGGCCCTATGTGTTCGTGGAGAAGATCATTCCTTTTTTTTTTCCCTGGCAATGAATTGTATGAGAAATGGGAGGTTTTGGAGAAGAGGAGGTGAATTTCGAAGATGATTTCTTGTCCTTCGAAGAACAAAAAACAAATAAATTTCTCTTGTCGTGTTGGAACCATGTCCGTGTACGCTGTTCTCTGCTTTCGAGCAGGCAAAATTGCCTGCATGAGAAAAGACAGGTTTTGAACAAAAGGTGGTCATGAGAAAAGACAGGTTTTGAACAAAAGGTGGTCATACGAATCTTGCGTTCCGTTCTTATCCTTTGGAAAACAGCAAACAAATAGAACAAAAAAGTAGATTTAATTTGCCGTGTTGGAACCAATATCCGGGTTCAATGTCCTCTGAGCGGGCGGGCATGCCACTGATGTTTTGGGCGAACGGTAATTTGTTTAGGTCTTCGGTCAGTTGGTGGAATAAGTGCTATTCTCTTGATGGTAAGAACGTCGATTTTGATAAGCACTGACGAAAAGGTGTGGTGTGGGAAGGAGTTTGTGAATATGTCGAAACCGGTCGAGGTTGAATCTGTTTACAGAAGATGAAAGGACTGATAAGCAAAAGGCATGAAAGAAAACGGAGAGGGGGAATGCCAAATCTGTAAGAAGTTGGAAGGACTGATATAATAGGGAATGCTATACGAAGCAGTGGTCAGGAGATAGTATTATGTACGGGTTTTAGCTTGAAAAACATTACTGAAATACGGATGTGATCGGAAGTACTGTTGAAACGTTGAGATTCTTAAAGGGTGTCACGGCTTGCTGAAGAACTAGTTTGTTATGATCTACGGATCTTCCAATTGATGTCCATAAGTTGCAGGATTCAAGGCGGGGAATTGGGTGAAGTATTCTATGTTGTGAAGTGTGGAAGGTCACCAAAGGTTAAAAGAGAGAGATAGAGAGAGATGTACTACGCAGAACAGAACACCCTCTTATAGGTTGGATCGTTGAATGGGGAGCCAGTGAAAAGGTACATCGTTCGTTCTCTACAAAGTATAAAAAGTGAATTTGAGAACACGGTAGGGTGGCAACGAAGAAAAGACGAAATGCAGAAGGATTGCTCACGGTTATGGAGTGTGCGGAATGTTTCGTTTGCGGAAGTGGGTCTTAAATTGACTGTGGAATATCTCGTTAAATTGATGCAATCTCAACGTCGTGTATGATGTTGTTTTGCGCATGGGTCACAACTCATTCGTTGTTTTTTCGGTGTCTTGCTGCCGCAGTTGCAAGAATAGGAGAGGGCGAGCTTCTTGGAACTACCCCCATTGACATGGTAAGACGATTTCTTCGTTGTGATTGAACGTTCTTGAGTTCCAAACTTGTCATCCTCGTGTCGTTCCCTCTTGGAGGCCGCGTTGTAGCCCACCTTAGGGTGAGAGGCATAAAATTTGCCCCAACCTCGTCAGTCTCCCTCCCCCCACCACAGGTAACCCCTCCCTGGGCTTCGTATGTTTCCCCAACACCACACCCCCACACCAACCCCACAACCCCACCCCGACCCCACCACCCGCCCCACCCCTATCCGCACCCCCACTTCCACATTCCAACCCGCATGCCCGCACCCCCACCTCCACCCCTACCCCAACACCCATTATTTCACCCCTTGGACAACATGTGTTTTCGGTGAGGAATGAAAAAAGAAGGGGAGCTACGCGCCGCGTATGCAGTTTTCAACTCCCGATGGATCGCTGAAAGCCCCAAGGATATCCCCAGAACCCTGGCGCTCTTTATTCTCTTCCTTTTCGCGCCTGTTCACCGGTTTTGTTAACTCGGCGTGCGCAGATACGGAGAGAGAATGTGTTTGTTTGTGTGTGTGGGGGAGAGAGAGAGAGAGAGAGAAAGAGAGTTCGGCCGAGGCATGCCCAATGCATCGATCCGTTACTCCGTGCTCGAGTTTCCGCGTCCTGGAAAAGAAGTGAATCCAGAGTTGGATAATCTACTGAGCCGTGAGTGATTCAAGTGATGGTATAGATTGTACATCCCCTATCGGGAACTTGTGTGTTTTGTGTGCTAACCATCCATCCATGCTTTGTTTATTGTTTTCTCTTACCAGGCACACGTTGACCAGTGGATCTTCTTCTCCATGAACGAAATCGACCGTCATGTCATGACCTGGCTCTTGCCTCTTTTTGGCCTCCCTGGGGTTCACTACAATCAGACGGTAAGGCCTCTTCGTCGACGCCCGCTGTGTTTCCCTCTCTTCCCATCCTTGTGTCATCAGTTCGTACTATCAACTGATAGTTGCGTTTTTTAGTTGAGTAGCATTTTACTTACGGAGTGCAGGTTCCCTGCAACTCCAACACATCTCTATATCATTTCCAAGGCAACTCCTTTTTTCCATTCAACCCCAACACATCTCCCCAACACGTTCTCTATATCATTTTGCAAGTCGACTCCTTTGTGTTCAAGCCCGAAGGAGGATTAGAGTCGCCCACTGTCGTCACTACTTCCCCTTTTACGGCTGCGGGCTTCCTGTCGAGCATCGGCCATGTACGTGGTTGAGGCGATTGTCTGTATCTTCTACGTACGCCAGTGTAGGATTACCCAAAGAAAAAATGGTGTTTATGTAGTTAGCAACGGAACCGATCGGCATTATCGTCGTAAAACTATTTGCTCATTTGCAAGGGCATGTAGCCTGAGATAACAAAGTGGAAAAGAGCAATTCATTTGCTAGTGTCGTGGTCGGCCGTAAAATTGATAAAGGCACCAGTGGTCCTTACTCTGGCTACCTATCTGCCTCTTACCGCCGCGGGCTTCGCGTCGAGCATCCATCGGCCATGTGTTTGAGGTGACTGCAGCTGTAAGTGTTCTGTGGAGCGGTTAGGTGGAATCCCTGAACAGAGAATGTTACGGTCGCTAACTTGTTGTTTGTGATTTGTAGATTGAGAACAATGCCATCCAAGGCGTGAAGAGGGGTTTGGATTCCCTGAATGCGTACCTCGCTTCAAAGACGTTCCTTGTTGCTGATATGGTGACGGTGGCAGACATCATTTTGACGTGCGACCTCTTGCTGGGCTTCACGATGATTTGGGATGCACCGTTCACTGCTCCTTATCCTCATGTGACCCGTTACTTTTTCACCATGGTGAACCAGCCAGAGTTCTCCAAGATCCTTGGTGAGGTCAAGCAGACGACCGCTCCTAAGAAGAAGGTATGTGGGCTTGATTTGGGAATTGGCTATCGATGGACTACAGTGTCTGCTTACGCTCAGCTGTGTGGGATTTTTTTTTTTTTTTTTTTTTTTTTTTAAATCATTGTAGTCAATGATCCTTCCGCAGGTTCACCTACGGAAACCTTGTGACGACTTCTCCTTCCTCTAAATGATAAGGTTCAATGAACTTCTCACAGCACCCCCAGCGGCAAACCGCCGAGATCACCGCAATCCAGACACTTCACCGGACCATTCAATCGGTAGCTGTGTGGGCTTTCTTCTTTAGAAAATAAGGAATTGGCTGTCGATGGACTACAGTGTCTGCTTACGCTCAGCTGTGAAAGTACCTGGCCCACAATCCAAACTTTCAGTTATCTCCAGTGGGCGCAGGGTTGTGCATGTGCGTTTGGATGAATAGATGTAGAATGAAAATGAACCACGAAGGAAGGTTGGGAATGCTCGCAGAGGTAATGTGCATCTTCTTTGGGGAGTTGATGTGTATCTTCTTTGGGGTGCAGAGATGTGAAAGAAGTACAAGGGAAGAACATGCGAGTGTGGATGGAGGGGGACCAGGGCTACCCCTACTCACCCATCTTCCGTCGGACCCGGGGCTATTGCTATTGTGCAAGTTTTCGCGCTTGAATCCAAGGTCAGATTGAGAAATATTGACCCCATCGTTTATCTTCTTTGGGGTGGAGAGATGTGAAAGAACTACAAGGGAAGAACATGCGACTGTTGATGGAGGACCAGGGCTACCCCTACGTACCAATATTCCGTCGGACCCGTGTTATTGCTATTGTGCGAGTATTCACGCTTGAATCCAAGGTCAGATTGAGAAATATTGACCCCATCGTCTCTGTCCAGCGAAGAGAGCAGTAGTGATCGGCTGAGCTCGCTAAGTGTGTATGACGGAGGCTATTGGCTCAGAGCAGATTCCTCACAAATGTCGGGTCGTCCGATGATCATCCTTGAACGAAATCGACTCCGATCCTTGACCTTGGTCCCCCTATACGAAATCTGATCTGGCTTTAACTTCGGCAGTGTGGTTTTGCCTACGCAGTTTGCCACAACATATCCACTGTTCTGTGTTTTAAAAGGGGTTTTGCGCTTGCGGATAGCGTTTCGATTGGGCTTGACGTGTCTTTTGCGCGTGTAGCTTGAATTCAAATTGTTAATCGAAACAGTCAGCATAACGCTTTTCCAGTCGCTTGGAAATGTCTTCGACCTCACTCTTTTCACGACATCCGTCGGAATTGGTAGGGTAGAGGGAAGATTAGCATGATGACCCCTGCGAATGGATGACATCATTGACATGTATAAATCGAGAAATGGTCCGAAAGTATATTTGATGTATAGATGAAAAGAAAAGTGATGGAGGTCATTAGTCACAGGGATGACTAGCGTGAAAGCGTACCGGCGTCAATAGTAGTCTGTTTTGGGAGGAACCTCTCCTGTATAGATACAGAGCAGTGTTTTTGTTTTTTTATTCACGGCAAATGCTAGAAAAGTTTGGTGAATGCGAGGCGACAGATGGTAACCTGTTTCATTTGATGCGGTGGTCTTTGGTCTTGAAGGAAAAGGAAACCAAGCCCAAGGAGGAGAAACCGAAGAAGGAGAAACAACCCAAGCAGCCCAAGCCTGCTGAGGCGCCGAAGCCGAAGCCAGTGGAGAAGGGGCCTGAGGACGCAGCCGAGGAGGATGAGGCTCCCGCCCCTCCCAAGAAGCCAAATCCCCTCGATTTGCTCCCTCCCAGCCCTATGAAGATTGACGACTGGAAACGTCTGTACTCGAACACGAAGGCAGCTGTCTTCAGAGATGTGGCTATCAAAGGTGAGCAGAACAAGGTTCTCCGTTCTCCAATCTCAAATGGATCTCGGTTACTCTCTTGTTTATTGTTAATTTTACATATCCTGGACTCCTAGCAAGGAGTGATCAGTTTTGCATACAGAGTCGTGTTTCTGTCAAATTGGTTGAATACAAAGGCGAAACGAGGAGGCATCATGATCTGGTTGAATGCCAAATGGAACGAGTTCTGAGCCATCGAGCGAGCTGCAAATGATGCCATACAAAGGCGAAACGAGGAGGCATCATGATCTGGTTGAATGCCAAATGGAACGAGTTGTGAGCCATCGAGCGAGCTGCAAATGATGCCTCGTCGTGTTTCGCGTTTGTAGTCGTGAATTTATACGTTCTATCGAACGTGGAGGGGTGGTTGTGTTGGTTTAGGAATTTCGTGGTGCTGTGGGCTTGCCATGCCACTACACGCTGCTGCAAGGCTTGGTCAAAACAATGAAAAAGCAAACAACAGAAATGCTATTTGCTGTTTTCTTCTTTGGTAAGATGCGACGAAAAGCGAGATTTTAACCAATCGAGCTGAGGATATTGCCTGGTGTTTCATAAAGTTTGCTTTGCGACGAAAAGTGAGATTTTAACCAATCGAACTGAGGGTATTGCCTGGTGTTTCAGAAACGTTCCGGGAAAAGGTTTTTGCCATGTTGGATCATGAAAACTAAAAATAATCCAAGATTTACAAGAGCACTCGATTGATATGGTTCGAAACATTCGTTGTTAGAATTAAAAAAGATTTGCCAAAAATAACTAGGGTCATAATTTGCAACGTGGTAATTTACAATAGCACTCGAAATGAGGGTAAAAAAAAAAAGGGTATTGCCTGTGTAAAATACTATGTATTCGACCTTTTCTGTACTTGACTGACTCTTGCGAGCCTCCAGGCACAAAGTGCAGCAATTCGGACATCTCCGCCGAATTTCTGGACACGAAGTGGTGGCCAAAACTGCTTCAAAATGTATCCTATTTAAAATCTCAAAACAATCTAGTCTTATTATACGGTCAATATCAGTATACTTTGGTTAATCACATGGATATAAATGAAGTACTACGTGAATAGTGAAAGAAGTGCAAGGGAAGGAAATCATCTTTTGGTCGACGTCGAGGCAGATCAAAATATGCTGCCAAAGAAGACCCAGATTGACAAATGAAGCGAAAAATCTTGCGACTCTCGCTCGAAGAGCGTTTGATTTTAGAGAATTGCAAATTGCAAGGTGTACAATAATTGATACACAAATTTATCAACATTTTTGTAAGATCCATGGGAAAGAAACAAAATCTTATGGTATGATTTTTTAAGTTTGTTTTGTTGTTTATTACGTCTGTTGTTGATGTTGCAGGTTTCTGGGACATGTTGGACCCGGAGGGGTACTCTCTTTGGTTCTGCGACTACAAGTACAACGATGAGAACACCGTGAACTTTGTGACCATGAACAAGGTCTCTGGGTTCCTGCAGAGGATGGAATTTATCAACAAGTATGCGTTTGCGAAAATGTGCATCCTTGGGGACTCTGCCCCCTTTGAGATCAAGGGTGTTTGGCTCTTCAGGGGTCAGGAGATTCCACAAAGGGTGCTGGAAGAGTGCTATGACATTGAGCTTTATGAGTGGAAGAAGGTCGATCTGAGTGATGAAGCACAGAAGAACCGGGTCAGCGACATGTTCGAGGAGACGGATCTTATTGACGGCAAGACTCTGCTTGAGTGCAAGTGCTTTAAGTGAGTCCAATGGGAGAGGGAGGGAGATTTATCTTCAGATGAGAGAGAACGATGTGGCGGTTGCTGTTGACTAGCGCGGTAGGGACTTCCGTGTTTTGTGAGGGAGAGAGGATCACCTTGGGACTCCCGTGTTGTGTGAGAGAGGGATGCACTCGGTGTCGAGTCTCGACTGGGGTTTCACCACTCTGCGCTAGTCAGAGAGAGAAATGTTGGTAGTGTGTGAATTAGGAGAAGTAATGGCTCAGCAGCAGCAGCGATTGAGGGTGCCGACCATTTAGAGATGCAGCCAGTAGGGGGTATTGTTGTGGACGGGGAACAATTTTGTAGATTGTCGTCGTGGAACAAAAGCGGGGTGTTTGATGAAGGTTGATTTGGGGATTAACGGAATTCTTTCTTATGAATTGAAGAGATTTGTTTGTGCTTCTTGCTGTGTTGGACGGCGGGTGGGATTCCAAAGAAATAATGGTCCTCTCGTCTTTTTGCCAGTTCTCGTGGAATGGTCATTTGGTCCTTGTGCCACTCGCACCCTTTTCGTGATCTCTCCTTGTGCGATTTTCTTCTCTCTGCAAGCTAAGGTACTCCGTGCTCTGCTAACTTTCATAATATCCATGAGATTGAGTGGCCCACTACTGCTTGCATCCATCGTGAGTTGGGACGGCATATTTTGGTATGGCAGCGTAACATTTTTTATTATTGCTGACGATTTTTCCCCTGGATCGAACGGGTTGCGTGTGGGAGAGGAACAAATTGTGGTTTGTCGAAAATTCTCGAAATTAATAGTGTGTTTGTGTGCGCTCCACGACGTCCACATCAAAATTATTTATGTTATAACTTTTAACTTTGTGGATTGAGTGTCGTCGACGAAGGGCTGCGTTTGGGTGATTGAATTTGAGGCCAATTTTCAGCAGTGCTTGTTTTGTAAAAGTTTTGTCGATGTCTGGGAATGATGGGGAACTGATGGTGCCAGTCTTTGTGCCGCGGAACTGTGCCTTTTTCGTTTTGCAATAAATTTCGACCATTTCTCCATTTATGCGTGTTGCGCAGGGGCCAGGCCAATCGAATCTGTATTGTTCCAATTTGAACTCATGTCCCGAAGGACGACCTTTGCTGTTCTTCTTTTTCGTGGTAGATTCATTTGTTGAGGCAGCATCCCATGTTTGTGTAGACAGCATTTTCTATTGCAGCAGGGTTATTCTAAAATTACTGATGATTCGGACTGGCGGTCCTTGTAAAACTAAAAAGCCAAGCATTGATCAGCCAAGCATTGATCAGCCAAGCATTGATCAGCCAAGCATTGATCAGCCAAGCATTGATCAGGCTGCGAGTACATGGTGACCCTTGTGACGAAGCCGGTGAAGTCGTACCAACGTTTCAGTTTCCTGTGCCACTTGTTCGATGGTTTGAAGGCCCACAACCATGAGAGAGAGAGAGAGCTCCCCCCTAATTGAGCCTATGCTTTTTATCACTTCTACTTCTAGGAGCAGAACGTGCTGGAAACCCTGTTTGGCAGCAGCGGTTGGCCGTTCTCTCTTTCCTCCTGATCGTTGTTGGGATAACCCCTGAATGTTCAGTTCGTTTGTGCAGACTTCTCGTTTGCCCGCCGGGCATTGGTGGGCGATGGGCGTCAGGCCCGGGTGTCGGATGGGCGTTATGCAATGACAATGGGACATAGACGCGATTGAGAAATTAACGTCCCCCAGACGTCATCTTAAACTAAGACCGCGTGATTCATCATTATAGTTACTGGTACGCATAGCCAGATGATTACAGCCGCTTGGCTGCACGTGGATATACATGCACGCATCCGCTTCTGCCACTGGTCAGAAGGTCCATTTCTAACCCATTGAAAATCCTTGGGAGTAGTTCACCTAACGTCGTAAATCCATCCAGGGAGTAGTAGTTCACCTAACCTCGTCAATCCATCCTGTCTGCCGAGCACGAGGAGTCTGTTCAGTACGACGGTTCATGTCCATAGGTAGCTTGTGCAGCATTTGCAGTCGTGATCAAAACAGGAGAAGAGGAGCAGGCTGCCCAGATGTAACGTGTGGAAGAGGACGGGGTATGACCACAGACAGCAGGGAGACAGGCAGTCGAGGTGAAGGGAGGAGAGGGAAATCAAGATGAAAAAGGGGATTATCGGAATCAGCAAAATTTGTGCGAGGTGGGGTCGATCGGGCCTAGAGATGGTGTCACCACCCCTGTATGTCGATCTGACCGACTCGTATGTGACCTTAGCATGCATGAAGAAACTGAGGGGGGGGAAATGAAAGGGTCGCAAGATGGAGGACAGACTCCGAAGTTGGCAATGGGCGGGTGGGCGGGAAGCTAGTTTGTTGCATGCGCGGCGCCATAGCTGCATTGTTGGATTGTATTTGCGAAAGGAAAACGAAGAAACAGAGGTACTGTCTTTGCTTCTTCGTGCTGTTTTTTTGGGAAACAAAAACGAACAAAAAAAGAAATCTATCTTTTCGAGAAGGATAATGAACTCCACAAATATCAATTAAAACTCGAAATCTTGTGTTTGTATGATTTAAAAAAAAGAAAAGAACACTAAAATTTTGAATGCAAAACGTTTCTAGTTGGATGAATTTGGGCGCTCCTGTAGTGACCCGTATGTTTCCTCAAATAATGGCGCGTCAACGGGCACGATCTTAGCAAGTACTGGTGGTTTAACTTAGCGGCAATTGTCTTGGGAGCTCGTTATCCGTGTGGTACACAGGCCATGGATTATCACGAGGCTGTATTAGAATGAATTGTTATCAACGGGCATCTTTGATGCTAGTCAATTCGTCCATGCCTGTGCGAAGGGCTTAGGGATCGTTTTGTCATAACCTCAACAGTGTGAACTTTGAAGACAGGATGTCCTTGAGGTCTGGCGCTCCATTGACTTGGAACTGTGTGGCATCAAGGGGAAACTCAAGGAGGCAAGGGCGGACGGAGAGAAAGGGGCGCCGGTGTGGCATGAAACTGTAGGACGAATCTCAAGAGAAAGGAAGGCCGGTGGGGCATTGGAACTGTGGGAACAATATAAATGTCGAGGGGTCGAAGCTACTGCGTACGTACATGTGAACAGGTCAAACACCCCGACGTACTCGGATATAAACCCTAAGCCCCAAACCCTAAGACCTTGGGCGAAGGTGGAAGAGTGTGCAAAAACACTGCTATGGTGCAAGAAGAGACGACCACTGATAGCAGTGATAAATGGATGAATAATACAATTTATAATCGATGGTTTCGAAACAAGTAGGCTATAGTGTAATGGGACCACTGGTTAGTGAATTTATATCATATTGTACCACATAGTTATCCTTACGTTATCCGTAGCTTATCCTCAAGCTATCCTTACTGAACTCGTAATCGCCCGTATCATCGCACGTTGTAGTGGACTGCGGGAAACAATCAAAACCGCTGTCTCAGGCTCTCCCCCCCGGCCATAAGGGGGAGGCGGTTTTAGTCCGCACAATTGATGTGAGGGACGCTCTGGAACCTCTTTCAGCAGATCCAATCGAAAGGACGTTTCCATGAATTCCTTTCAACAAACACAAAAACCCTGTCTTTGAGGAGTGAACTATCTGACAGTGATTCCTGTCACCTCAGTTTGCAACTTTGCATAGGCAAGTAACAAGTTACTATAACTGTGTTTAGTAACGCAGTTGAAGTTACAGTAACTGTGTTTAGTAACTCAGTTGAATGGCTACTCCGTTTAACTTATAACTGTGTTTAGTAACTCAGTTGAACGGCTACTGCGTTTAACTTTGAGGAATGAACTATCTGTCCGCTGTTTTAGCGCATTGAATAACTCCGAAATTCAGGACAACAACGACTGCAGTCGTTGCACAAATCGAAGATGAGTTTCTGACTGATGGTAAAAGGCATAGGATGACCATGCAGAGTTTTACGAACGGTACTAAGTGATCATATGAGTGAGCCGAAAGTTCACGAACCGTACTAAGTGATCATACGAGTGAGCCATAAGTTCACAAGTATCTGATGTCCGAACACGGGAGGGCCCATGTGGCTTCTAACATGTGGAGCCTTTCGCGCTTTTTGCCACACGCAATCCGGGATCCAAGGGAGTTGTTCCTTCAGGCTGTGTAGAGCTTACCCTCCTAGTCCCATAGCTCGTTCGGTACACTCTGACTTCAAATAAAGAAACTAAAAGAAAAACACGATTGATTGTTTGATACTTTGATTGACACACAGAGGTAGACAACCTCATGGCAATTGGGTGGAAGTCCGATGAAATCATCTCCGCACAATCTTGCTCTTTTTACGGAGTTGTGCAGCAAAATGACATCAAGCACACACACACAGTGCACACTGTGCAAATGAGTGACATGCCCTCTTTGAAGTTTTTATTTCTACTTTTTAATGATCAATCCATCCATCCATCCATCAATCAATAGATCTATCGTTAATCCATTTGATTGAGCTTCCAGTCGCCTGGAAGTTCAGACTGTATCATCATTGATCGATTGAAATCAAACCATCAACAGAATGTTCCATCTATCCATCGATGCATCGATCCGTCAATCAATCAATCAAGATTTACCAATTGACTTGATTGGTGGAATGATTGAGCGAGCCCCGATCTAGGCCGTCAATCTTTGATATCCGCGGGTGGCCCAGACCGGGGCCTAAAAGTTCTTTTGGACTGGTCCCTGTGGTAAAGCCCTCTTCCGGACTTGGACCCCAGGTTAACGCGGTCATTTGAGACCCACGCGGACAGTTGGGGTGGTTGTCTGCCCCGGTTAACCCGGACATCCTAAGGCTTCCAGGACATCCACCGTGGTAAGATAGCCCACAAGTAAATTATCATATCAGCCATGCCGTTACAAGTAAATTAATAAAATTATCATATGAAATTAAAAACAATATCATATCAGCCATGCCGTCACTAGTAAATTAGTAAAATCATCATATGAAATTATAAACAACGTTGACTATCACTCATGCCGATTACTGCAGTGTTGAGTGCTGGGCTTAAATCACCAATACACCCGCTCCTAGAGGCGCTGCACTGCGTGCAAAGCTTTTTCCCAAACCACCAACGGTCCGGCGGTGCACTTTCTTTTTCTTTTTTGGCTGGTGCTGCCAGCCACTCCGGTCCCGTAACCCCAATCTGCGAAAGTTTTCAGACTTGTCGACTTGTAATTTTCTACACGGCTACAAAAAATAAAAATAAAAATAAAAATAAAAAAAAAAATAAAAAAAATCTACACGGCTGGGGGCATTTATTGCCGATTTAAGGCACACAGTTTGACTTTCAGGAATGAATGATCGTACAGACTCTACTCGGAGCATACATGAGTTCTGGAATCGCCATAAAGACTGTTAAAATGTATTAAAATTAGAAAAGTTAATAAAAACATATATTGCTTTCAGAATATGATCATGCAAACCACACTCTTTCCCAAGGAAACGAACGTGCAACATTTTTCCCAAGCTTCGTCCACTGATCCAGAACTGTGCGGGCCTCACCTCACCGTAACAGCAGGGAGAAAAAAAACTGAGCTCTTTAGGACTTCGAATTTGCCGCTCACACTTTATTACCCATGCAGGAATTTTTGTTTCATTTCTATTTCTTGCAAGATCAGCATGCAAGCTATTGCACTGACGTTTTCAATTTATTTTGCAGCACAAATAACTCGTCACAGCGGACGCACTCAACATTTCGCGACCGTGACCACGCCTACCGCGGCCTACCCTGCGACCGGCCCCGGGCGCCTGATTGTTCATTTTTTTCATCATTGGGACCAGTGGTGGTACTTCTCGATGATATGAAATTAAGACTTACTAAACCATGTTGGACAATGCTAAACTCGAGTTACTGAACCATGTTGGACAATACTGAACTCTTCGAGTCACTTAACCATCTCGGGTGATAAGAAACTCGAGTTACTAAACCTGTGTTGGACAATACTAAACTCGGAATGTGCAGACTGAAGAGGAACAGGAAGTAGCTGCTAAAGGAGAGACGAGTGATCTGGCAGTCTAGTGCAGACTGAAGAGGCGGATCGCAACCTGTCCATTACAAGTGTCTCGTGCAATCGCTGCTGGCAGGAGTATACTGTTCTGAAAGCCACTATAATGTTCAGGGACGCTGGACCCGATTTCCAGCAGGTGCCGCTCCCCACCAATAGATGGAGCCTCCCTGGGAGTGCAAGCGGTGTCTGCCCTTACCAGCACCCCTAGCACCACCCCTGGTGTTAAAAAAAAAAAAAATCGATTTACTAAACCATCTTGGGTGATATGAAATTCGAGTTACTAAACCATGTTGGACAATACTTAACTCGAGTTACTAAACCATCTTGGGTGATATGAAACTAGAGTGTTACTAAATGGTCTAAACGATGTTGACGGATACAAAACTAGAGTTACGAAACGGTTTAAAGTTTAAACCATCTTGGATGATATGAAACTAGAGTTACGAAACAGTCTCCACCATCATGAATAATATGATGACACTGGAGTTACTTAACCATATTGGATGCTACAACGAGCAGGTTTAGCGCACTGAGTTGACTTTGACTTGCTCCAGTAATGGTCCCCGTGCACTACATTCCCATCCCTTTCACTGCTCAGCGTACTCGCTTGTCTCTTTCCACAGGAACATCATTCCTTTCCTGCTCAGTGCTCACCATACTCTTGCTCCTCAATTCCCCTAAGAATGACTACCTTTCACTGCCCAGCACACAATGCACCCTCAATTTGGCTGCACCGGACTGGAAACATAGCTCGTATACATTCGTTATTGGGGTGCCTTGTGTTTAGGGGAAGACGGTAGTTTCTTCCGCAAGGTACTGGTCTCCTGTATTGTGACGACTACCGTATAGCCCTACTACACCATTGATTTCTTGTGTCATCGACGTGCTAAAAAGCCGTATAGAGAGAAAGAATGCTTGGCCTGGGTCCAAAGAGGTGATTTGGTGAAAGGATTTATCGCTCCAAAGAATCGGAACCTTCTGCGCCTTTGCCTGGCGCTGCCTCTGACGGTTGATCCTTCGTCTCAAGCTTCGTTCAGCCCTCGGATTGGTGCTCCACATTTGGACCAATGCCTAGTTCATGCCACAAACGTAGTCAGGTCAATGGTCCGCATTCAGCACTGGTTTGCCATGAGTTATTCAGCACTGGTTTGCCACGAGGATGGCTTGTCGTATCTAGAGTCTTTCTGCTGTGCTCTTTGTTTTTCTCTCTTTTTCAGTTTCTTCTGCATAAGAAGATTCAAGATGATAGATTCTTGACTCTAGTGCGAAGGCACCTGTATAAGATAAAGCGGCCTCTTAGTACTTTATACCTAATCCTTCATTTGGTCCATTGTCTGGTAAATGGTTCATGCTTCAGTTCTCTAGGTCCTTCATCTGCTCCATCTTCCAATTCTCCTTCTGGTCCTTGCCACTCCTTGCTGGTCCTTCACCTCGTCCACCTGGTCCATACGCAGGTCCACCATCTGGTCGCCGGCCGTGCCCTTCGTCTGGACATGTCTGGTTCATTCTCCTTGGTCCTTCAGTGGGTTCCTGATCTGCTGTGGTCCATACCTTGTCTTTCATCTGGTCCTAGCCGAGTCTGATTCATGTTCCCATGCCTGGTCCACACCTGGTCCCAGGGACATAGTCACACACCTGATCCTACTCCTGGTCCCACACCTGGTCCTGCACCTCGCCTCACACCTGCTCCCGCACCTGGTCCCGCACGCGGATACAACCTGGTCCTGCTCATGCTCTTTGCACCTGTTCCTGCACCTGGTCCCACATGTAGTCCCAACCTAATCCCGCACCTGCTCCCTTATGTGATCCCGCAAATGGCACCACACCTGGTCCTGCACCTGACCCCAACCTCATCCTGCACCTGGTCCCCACCTGATCCTGCACCTGCTCCTGCACACTGGTCCCACAACCGGTCCCGCTTGGGCACATCATGCAGGACCATCTAGATCTCTCCATGGCTCACGACTTGTCGTTCCTCTGGTTCAAGACCTGGCCTTTCGGGCTGGTCAAGCCTTCCCCGGTGCTCTGCAACTATTATTTTATTTTTAACCTTTGTTGTTCCTCCTGGAGCGGTCAAATCAGTCTGTCCATACAAACTGCGTGACAAATTGGCAATCGATCTTTTATTGCATGCTCCAGCTGCAGCATGCAGCCACCAGCAGTCAATGTGAATTGTACAGATGGCAGGCGCGTTCTAAACCATCCATCCTGCACCTCCCTATGCATGAGGTATTGAAGTGAGTGCGGGCTCCGTTTGCTTCAAATCGTTTCTCAGGCAGAGAGTGTCGACGGCGTGCGGTCCATTGGCAATTTGGCATCAATCCTCGTCCTCTCCTACTCACAATTCTTCGCTCGAGCGCGCAAACGAAGGAGCTCACGATTTCACAACGACTGCTCATTTCGCAGCTTCTAAAAAGGTTCATAATTTCATATAACTCAATCTGTCATGTTAACCTACAGAGGCTCTGCGATCTGGCTGGGCAGGAGTCAAACTCTGATTGACGACTGATGATTAATGAATGGTGAGTGATTGACGAGTGACGAGTGATCGATGATCGATCTTATGTTTGCCTTAACCCCGGCATCCCCGGATATCGTAGCGACCTCAAAGCAATTTGTTAACTGGCCGCTGCTGTCCTGATATGTCGTCTGGCAATGTCGACATCTGCGGCTGACCGACCGCCTAATACATCGTAGAGGGAAAAGTCGTGGAACGGAGGGCCCTCTTGTTCGGACAACAAGAAGAAAGGAACAGAGGTGAGATAGGAAGGCATGTCCGAAATTCTCGCCTCCACTGATGTCAGTGATGTGTCGCTGGAAACTTCTTCCGATCCTGAAGGTGACGAGCGCCGTGGTGGCCCTAGCACTGATACACTCAGCACAGACTCGCTCATCACACCCAAACAATCACTCACTTTCCGCCACACTCGTTTGTCGAGGTACTGTTGGGACCGAGATACCTGCCCGACACATTTGCGCATGCACACACACACACACACACACACACAAATTGCAGGGTTGGCGTGAGTCTCGTTAACTCTGGGCGACGTTGTGAGTCCTTAAGGATGCTTTTGAGAACTCATACTCATTGCTTCGCTCCTTTGTTTTTTAGTCTAATTTATTAGACACCCGAGAAACATAATCACTGAAATATCTGTCAGTCAAATGCATCCTGGGCAAACTGTCAAAACGTTCAATCGCTGAAAGTCCGACGCACTCATGCTTTTTTTTGGGTGGTAAAAGGGCCTTTACCCGAAATAGCCCTCAGGCCTTGTCAAAGTAACGCAGCACAGACCTTGTAAAAGTAAAGCATTGTGAAAAGGTATCTCGCCAGGGCTCAGAAACGTGAAAGCAGGTCAAAGGTCAAGTTCTCTATCAACAGGCTTATCTAAAGCTAAGGCAAAGGGCATTGTCAAAAGACTTACCTGTTCACCAGGAGATGTGTATGTCATGTCTGTTCGGGTAAGAGTGTGTCTGTACGTGCAGGCAGTGTACCTGTTCGTGCAAAGTAAAGTGTCTGTTCAAGCAGTAAATGTGTCTGTTCGTTGAGAGTTGTGCCTGTCCGAAAGTAAAGTCAATAGGCACAGTCCCAGTTCTGGTCTAAGTCCAGGGGTCAGTCCAGATCCAGAGTTTCAAGTCCAAATTCAGGCCGGGAGGCCTCAGCAGCAGTTGAACTTCATTGGGACTCTACTGGGACACATGCAATGCAGGGTCTGGGACAAAAGGAAGGCTGGATTGAGCCAATGCAGACCCAGCGAGGAGTATAAAGGAGGCAGCCAGCCTCATTCCTCGCCAGATCTCCACTGGCTGTTTCAGCGTGGAAGTGCTGGAGCACTTGTGCGCTAAGTCAGTAGGAACAGCGCTGGAGGAAGCAGATGCGCTGAGTGAGGGAAGAGGATTGCATGCTGGAAGTGATGCAGCCATAGCTGCCCACCAAGTTAGCATTAGTAGTAGTGGGTTCGTATGTAGCTATGAGTAGTATTCAGAGTAGATCCTCATGAATGAAGGGTGTGTATGCATCGTAGGAGGAAGAGATTGAGGCTGAGAGTGTTCATTCAAGGTTGGGCTATGGAAGATACTTACCTGAGTTGAATGTGGGCTGTAGAGGTGGCGCTGATGGGTAGTGACCACATTGATGACTTGGAGGTTATCTGCAGGAGTAGCGCTGATTCACTGGAAGTCATATTGATGAGCTGACAAGAGATTGGGGTTGCGCTGATGAGCGCTGGACTCAGGGGAACTTTGAAACACTTTGTATTCATATTTCTGATAATMTAAGCTGTGAAACTTGGTCCTCTTCTTCTCTACCTTTGTCTATGGTTGATACTATTGATCGCTGTGTGTGAAGATGATGCATGACATGTACACATCTGCGTGAGATGGTCCCCAGGACCCATGCA